GTTAAATCTTTTTAATTTTAATGAGGCATGCTTAAAGTTCCCTTTACTTAAATTTATTGAGTTCCTACACTGTACACATCATTGTAAAATACAAAAAGATGAAGACACAAATAAGGGAGTGATAAAAGATTAGGGGAAAACAGGGTAAAAGTAAGTAAAAATATATACCACTTTAGGATATATGCAACTGTGTGCAGGCATGCAATTATCAAACTAATCTAATCTGTCCTTCCGGTGAGAACAATATATTCACTGTCCTCATACCTGCTTAGCACCACCCAAATCTTTGTGTTTGCCCAACTCAAAACCATTCTCCCTCTTCCTCATATTCAGATTCCACCTATCCTAAGTCCAATTTCTTCATGGAAGCCTTCCCAATTATTACTGTTTGAAAGAATTGCTAGCCATTTTGGGGGAGGGAGGAGGAAATGGTCAAAATAACCAGGACACAGCACTGGACACTCAATATTTTCTATTTCTGTGGGTCCCCAACAGAGCATAAATACAGTAATGGCAATCTCTCTCTGCTCTTTGTACCCTCTCACAATAGCTACCACTAATACTCTACTATCTGACTTTTTTTTTTCTTAAACAAATCTAACACCAAAGTGTCCCTTACCTTCTTGAGCTAAATCACCCACATTAAAGTATTTCAGTCCTGATCTTGCCGTAAGTTCTTTGCCTAGTGTGGTTTTTCCAACCCCTGGTGTACCTGTAAGACAAGTCACAGAAAAATACTGTTGTGAAACATGACTTACTTGACTCCAGCTACCTTCGACCCTTCTTATGGTTCTTAACAACTGAAATGAAAAATGTCCTAATTAGCAATCATATGTTAATATACACTACAACCTAACTAAAATTTCCCAAAGCCACCTGGATGTCAGAATCTCACCCAGTGTGTATGATTCTCCACGGGTGGGACTCAGGCAATTCTGATGCCAGTTCAGAGTGCCTACCAGCACCACAGAACTGCCCAGGATAAGATTAACTACCTAAAATCAATTACCATCATTTAAATAAGAAATTGTTCACAGAAAAAATTTAAGTAGTCTGAAAGATATCTCATTACTGACCCCCATCCCCTTCCCTAGAGGCAACCACAACAAACTGCTTTCTTATATATCTTTCTGAAGAAGTCCTATTCATGTGTGCACATATATGTTCATATGGTGTACACAAACACATACAACATATATTCCCTTTTACATAAATGGCAATACTACACATTGTTTTTTACCTTTCCTTTTTTATATTTAGTATGTGTTCCAGGATAACCAAATGCATTTTCAAATA